AAATAATCTGGCTCTCCTAAAAGGCTTATTTTAAAAAAATCGCCAAATTTATAAATAAAAAAAAAATCTATATAACGCTAATAGGCTACGAAAAACTTATACCTCGATTAATTATAGCGTTTCCTTATAAAATATAAAAATATTAAAAAAAATCGGATTATTGCTATTTGCGGCTATATTTACGAAACTAAATATCGTATTCGCAATAGCTAAATTAGCTCGATTCCTTAATAATCTAAGCTAAATATATTAAAAAGCTGCTAATCGAGCTTTAATTTACCTAATTAATATTAAAAAACTCTCGCTTAAAATCGGAGGATTTTTTAATTTAATAATTACTAATAACGCATTATTTGCCGATAATAATATCGATTACAAAAATACCTAAGCATTCGCTATAAAGCTATTCGGAAAATTAATTAATTAGCGATCAAATAAATAAAATATAATTACCACTTCCACTATAAAAACTAAATTACTTACCCTAGCGTAAACTGCCAAAAAAATATTATTCGTTAGCCGATTATTAAAGGAATTATCGATATAGCTAAATAATAATACTATTATTATTAAGTATAATAATAAGCAAACTATTAATTTAATTAACGCTAAAATCGCGTTATTAAAAACAAAGCTCCGTTATATAAATATCCATAATTATTAGTTACGACAAAAAGCCTAAAAAAAAAATTAAAATTATTTATAAACCCTTAAATAAAATAATAATAAATAGATTAACGAAAAGCTTGCTAATAGGCAAATAGCAGAATTTTCTGCAATAAATAGGACTTAACGTTGCTTATCGTAATTAAAACGAATAGCCCTAAAAAAAGCCATATTTTGCTAATTAGCAACTTTAATTTAAATATAGCCAAATCTATAATAAATCGTGAATTTAAAGGGGTATATCAGATGGTAGATTATGGTTCCTATATACTAGGGTATATTTAAGCACACGGATTAACCCTATAGTATTTAAATAAATATACGGGACCTCCCGGGGATTAGCCGGGGCCACCCAAATAAGCGTACACCTTATTAAAACTAAAAGGCGTAGAATATAGATCAATATATTACACAATTGACACCTATACCAGACCAGTTTAAACTCCAATAGGAAAGCACCACCTTGATCAACACTAATAATATTATTAACGACCGAAAGGTTTTCCCGCCGGCGATTTACGCCTTTTTTTAATACTAAACGAAAATTAAAATTTAAAATAATTTATAAAGCCTCGCTATTTAAATTTTAACGGCGCTATTTAACGATTATTTAAGCAAAACGCTCCCGAATAATCGCGTAAATTTTTATATACGGATTATAATAATAAAAATAATTTAATAGCTAAACTATTATATTTAAATTAAAGCTATCGTTTAGGCTTATTCGCATTAATACGGCTTTTTTCGGGTTTAAAAAATATAATTACTAATACGTCGGCTTAAACTTAACCTATAGCTATAAAAGTCCGGTTTTATAATAAAAAGCATTTTATATATAATAATAATTAAGGCTATTATTATTAAATTAAAGTATTTTAAATTTAAATAATACTAAAAGCTATATAAATATAAACGAATAAACGGCATTATATTATTATAAAGCATTATAAAACGCCTTATTACGGGTATCGCGCCCGGAAAACAGCGCCTAAAGGAAACCGGGCGGTTTTAAAAACGGCTAAAAAACGACTCGGCCGTTATTATAATATTTACTAAATTTAAAGCTTTCGCTATATTTAGCCCTAATAATTTTATTTTTTTAATAAAAAGCGTTATAATAATTATATTAATATATTATAGCGCTAACGTCGTCGTTAAAAACCGTAAACGGATTATTAATAAAAAATTATATAATATATTTAGCCGTTAGGTTTAGGCGCCGGGGCGCGAATACCGGGCTAAAATTTTATTTATAAAAAGTTATATTAGCCTTAATATATATCTTTTAATCGGTATTAAATTTATCCGAGCCTATAGGCAAAAAATTAAATAATTTTAAATTATATTTATTTTTTAATATAGCCGGGCCTTATTTATCCGGGTTTTCGTTAATAATAAAGTTTTATATAATAAAAGGTATCCGCCGGGCTTATTTAAAAAATCTCGAAATCGAAAAATCGCGGAAAAAAATCGATTAAAAAATAAAACGCCGTTTATTATTAGGCAAGCTATAATAACTAATGCTTTTTTTATAATTTTTATATAAATTATTTTTTGCGTTAAATTTAATTTTTTTAAAAAATTAATCGCGGCCGTAATAGCTATATATACGCTATTTACGCGTTAGCTTTAGCGGAGCTATAGCATTAATAAATAAATATAGGTATTAAAAAAAATTTATAATAATTATAAATTTATAAATTTTACGAAAAAAGCGCATACGCGATTAAACGCGTTATATCGGGCTAAATATAATATAAAAAAGCTATTTATAAATTAATATAATTTTATCGGTATATAAACCGGTAATTAATATAAATAAAATATAATATTAATCGTATAATACGTTAATATAAATAAAAATAAACGCTAAATATAAGCAAAAATAATAAAACGTTAATTAATAAAAAAAACCTAAACCCGATTTATTTATTTATATATTTTCGCTAAATCGAAAAAAATAAATTACCTCGCTAGCCTTTTAAAACGCTTTAGGCTATTAATAAATACGAAAGCCTCCGAATTATCGCTATTATCGTCCTTTGCCTCTGCGGCCGTATGCTTATAAGTTATATAAAGATTTAAAAGCGCGGCTTTAAGCGTTAATACTAATTTATTTTTAATAAATTTCGTTTATTTATATAGCGGCGTAATTACTTTTATCGACGCTAAAACTATAAAAGCGCGATCCGTAATAAATTATTACGTAATATAACGCTTGGCCTTATTTAAAACCTGCCGTTTTATACTAAAATTATATTTTTTTATTTTATTTATTTTAGCCTTAATATTTTTTTAAATATTACGTAAACGGCCCGACCCGGTTTTATCCGGGCCTAAAAAAAATTAAATTTTATTTTTTGCTTTTTTTATAAAAAATAGCTTTTCGAGCTTATATACCGCTAACGGAATAAAGTTAATATTATTAACCCTAATTTAATTAGCGTTATCGTTTTTAAAATTTATAATTATATTTTATATTCGAATATATTTATTAACGTCGGATTAAAATTGCTTATCCTATTTAACCTCGATTATAACCGTTTTATTTTTAGTTAAAAATACGTTAAATAAAAGGTATATAAATAATTTAATAGCCGATTTATCCCCCGTTAAATTAATAATAAACGCAACAAACCTAACTTATAAAATAGCCGCCCGAAAAACCGTTATATCGCTTAAAAAAGGTTTATTAGGAAAAAAAAAACATTTTAAGTAATAATAGCCACCGAAACACATTTATATAATTTCGTATATACCTATTACCTAATAATACTTTTTAAAATCCTACGCCTAAAAATACAGCTTTTATATAACCCGTAATAAAAAACGTTTTTAATTATTTTTTGCCTTAATATCCGGCTAATAAGCTTTATTCGGATTTATACGATATATAAAGCATTATAAAATTCGCTTAAAAGCGAATACCGGGAAATTTTAAGCGCCTTTTTTAATTTTATATCGCCCGTAAATTAAATTTATACCTAAATAAGGAAAAATAATCCTTTTTAGGCACGGCTTTTAAGCGATTTTCCTACGATAAAATAAAATATAAAAAATAACGCTAAAAGGTAATTTAAAATTTTTAATTTTATTTTATATATATAAAAAAAATAATAATAAGCATAAATAGCCTTTTTTTGCGTATATTTTAAGGCCTAAACGTACGGTTTAAACTTTATAACTATAGGTTAAATATTAGCACTAATTTAGGGAAACCGGCAAAAAATATATTTCGGTAATAATATATAAGCAAAAAAAGCAGGTATCGCTATTATAAAAAAAAATAAAATAAGCAAAAAACGTATAGCGCAAAAAAACGTAAAAAAAAAAAAAGTTTATAAAAAAAAATTACGAAAACCAAAAAAATAAATAAAAGCCTTCCTAATTCGCCCAAAAATAAATTTTAATTTTATTTAAATCGAATTTAAATTATAAAATAATATAACTTTATAAATAATTACCGAAAATTACCGTAAAAATACACCTATTAATAAATATAAACCAAATATAATAAATAATACGCTTTACGGCTAAAAAAACTACGCTTTAAAATTAAAAATAGCGTAAAAATAGGTTAAAAAAACACGCTTTTGCAACGCTATAAAAGCATTAAATTAATACTAAAAAATATAAATTTAATACGGATTAATAAATAATAACGGAAAATATTATTTTATTTAATATATTTAAATTTAAAACTGCTTTAAAAGCGTAAAAAAAGTTTAAAGCCGCAAAAAGCAAAACGATCAGGCCCGATTTTACTTAAATACAGCCGTATAATTAGTCAACAACACCACGCCAAGAAATGTGGCCGTACACCTGGAAAACTATAGAGTATGATGTTAGGTAAGCATAGAATATTAACCATTCACGTAGATTAAATTTCTTTAAACGTTTATGCGCTAGTCCCATTTTAAGCGATATTATGTTAAAACGGGGCTTATATCGCAATTATAACAATTATCGGTTATGCAAGTTTGCAAGGCTAAATCTTGGTATTTTACCGAAAAGGTTTATGCTCCAATAAATAGATTGGTGAATAATAAATGCTCCACAGGGAGTATTTATCATATGTTCTGGTTCTAAGGTCGATTTTGGGGGGTGTGTGTCTAATTCATTCTAGGTTCCCAGGTATCCGATCCGCGCATGCCTTGCGAGTGACCTAGAAGGGGGTTGTTGCTTACGTCCGCAACCTTGGTAGTTCCATCGCTCCCTTCCATTAATTTATCTATCAGTCTCTGTCTAGAATATCTCCCAGTAGAAGGGAAAGCACTCCCAACCTGCTACCTCTCTTGCCCGTTTTCAGCAAGTGTTCAGAGCTGACGACCAACATGCGTACTGTTGATGATTGTGAGTACGTTCAGATGTTATTGAAAGAATTCGGTCCACTAACACGATAAATAGATCCCGGGGCGGAAGAGCGACTGCTTGTTGACGATGATGAAAAGCCCAAGAATGCTAGGAATGCTCGCTCTTGGAAGACAAGACATCTCCCCATCGTTTTTACATTTCTCTGCACATCCCTATTTTGGCTGCTCGCCTTCTGGTTGCAACCCCACTTCACATCTCAGAACAGTATCTCGACCACAACTCTCAACTGCGGTAATTCGACCGCTGAAGCCAGAGCGCTTGGCTGTGTGTACGATCCGTTATCGGTTGTATGGATTCCAGAACCATGTTTCGACAAGGAGATCACGGAGGCGTATCAAGAAGCAGCCGATTGGGTCGGGTCCAACGACTGGCAGGGCAAAGAAATGCTGGATCTAGATGCAATGTCGGAAAGAGTTGCGCCACTTGGGTACTTTACAAGTATCAGAGACCACGTCGTTCACTGTGCTTATGCGTGGCTGAGGCAGCACAGAGGCTACTTACGTGGTGGGTTGTATTTGGACGACGACAGCCTGGAGTTCTCACACACGCAACACTGTGCTGAGGTGCTCGTCCGCGCTCTTGATCTCGATGTCGATGCTCTCGAACAACGAACTACCAAGGCATTTGTTGGGTTTTCTTCGTGTGAAGTTGAGACGGGATTGACCCCGTTGGCCCGGGATCGAACCGCATCCGCTGATGGATATAGGTAGCTTGAGATTTTTGGTCATTTTCAATGATCGTGTAGCCTCATGCAAAGCACGGAAGACGGTCAGAGATGATAAATGAACACAAGTCCTAGGCGATAGTAGATCATCAAAGTACAGTATATCTGTTGACAAGTATAATTTGAAATAATCTATCACGGTGTCTCAAACATCACGCTTTGCAAACTTAACACCCATTCACACGTAGCAGAGTCCCGACAGTGCGTCTGGTCAAATAGCACGAGTTGTTGAAAATTTAATAATCCTATCTAGAAATCCTTCATCCAAGCTGAGTTCTCTAGCAGAAGAAAGACTTGGAAAGACAGATCATGGAGTAGAGCCTGCATTGGTCACTCGATTCAAGACTCTTGCGATATCATACGTTCCGTAACGTGTCATCTGAGGGTAGTAGAATATAATTCAGTGCCTTACGTGCGGATAACCTACGACTGAGTGTGCTCAACACAATTCTACCAGCTTCTACTGGACAGCCATCATAGCCATGCGCCGTAAGCGTCGATGCGTGCACACCCATCCTTCTCCTCCTGAGATTTCTCAAACATCAGAATCAAGCCACTGCCAAGATGCGATGGGTCTGCAGGGTCCAATATGCATTTCTTGTCAGTTATGTCTGTGAGTTATGTTTCTTGGCTATGTTTCTTGGCTATTTTTCTTGGCTATGCGGCGTATGTATATCAACATATGATGGGTCTACTGAGGGTCCAATAGCCATTGTTTGTTAGTCATGTGGCGTATGTATACTATACTCAGCGAGGAGGGTGACGATTAATCGGCATTGAGATGCGTGGATCCCTTCGTATTGCCCACGGAGCAAACTTTTATCTAGAGGTCGGAGGATCCAAATATGGCTCCAAGGAAGTGATCAAGGAGAGCGACAAGTCGGAGGTACTCCAGGTCTAGGCGAAATTCCGTAGGAATTAGCCAAGCTAATTAGTCGAGGAGCAGGCATACTGTCTTCGGCGCGATGTTGAACCTTATTTATTGTCCCATGATCCAGAGCCGGGACGATTAGCTATACTATCAAGATTACGATGGAAAATTAACATGAACCCTGGCTGATCAGCTGGCTGACGGCAACAGCTCTCTTGGTCAAAATATTTACTACAGATGACATGAAAATAGTTGAATTATTTCACACGCGGCAGTTCTCTATACATCTGGATACTCTACTTCAACCCTACTCCCATCCCAACCGCTGGAGTGTTTGGCGAGCATCATCAGCGACACCTTTGTCGCCTATACCGGATTCATAGTTTGCAATGTTCCTCCGGAGAACCCATTCATGAGCTTCTCGATAACTACGGCAGGTATGGACTTGCTTGAAGTCTGGCAAAATACCCCCTCTGTTCTTGGACCATACTAGGTTAATTGGCGTCAGATCCATGTGGCACTGGATATACTGTCTTATGGCGTCAATGCAATGGTCTAATCGTGCATGTTAGTGTACCGCTGCTGCTAAAGTAAGCCACTGCATCAAGTCAGTCACGTACCGACATGCACTTGTTGCCTTTTGTCGACACCGTTCGGCCAATAATGTTCCCATTGCACAGACTGACGAACCATATCCTTGAGGAAGATTAGTTCCTGAAATGTATTCGTGTTTCTTATTTAGACTTACTAGACAGTGCAGTAAGTGAAAAGAGGATATCTCAATTGTAGCAATGTCTGTACCAGGATAGAAATAGAATTCACCACCTATCTGCTGAGCTTCTTCGCGGGTGATGTTCGTATCCGAAGCTTGCACGAATGTTAGCGGCTGAGTCTTTGCACACCGGTTGCCTACTTACGTATTAACAATTCCCAGTTGGAATCGATTTCGTCGCTTGGCTCGCCAACATATTGACGGGACCCTTCGACATTAGAGGTCCTGATGAGATCTCCTTTCTCATTCAAGGCTAGTCCAGCATCGAAATGCACCTGTTCGATGCTTAACACTGGATATGGTGGACCTATAAAAGCGTAAGTTTGTTGCTCATTGGGAATAAGGGATTATTGGCCTCTTGTTACCAATTTTCGTCACCCATCCAGATTCAAAGGGCATGGACACTCCGGTAGATCGGTTTATAGCAAGAACCGCTATGGCAAGGCCAAGTATGAGGATAGTGCCGCTAACGATAAGCAGACAGAGCTCCAGCCGTTTCCCTCTCGAACTTTGGAGGGGACGGAGAGGTCGATGCGAAGGAAGAAAGGTATCTTTCTCGTCCTCTTGACCGTCTTCATGTAGAAGACCTCCAGACTTGGAAGCAGGAAAAAGGAACTGCAACAAACCCATTTTTAGGTGAGCATTAGCTCTAGACTTGGAAGCAGGAAAGCCAAAATTGCAACAAGCCGATTCGTAGGCCAGTATTATCGTAATTGCATGCGCAACATGAGGAAAACGGCAATTTATACGGGATCCCAGACATGCACTCCGACCGACATGCCGACCCCAGACAGACACATGTTATGATTGGTAAGGTGCAAGGTCCCGTGGGCTCTCAAGCGCTGAGAGCGCACAAAATGTTCTTGCATTTGCATGTTAGACTGATGAAGTGGCGGAGTGAGCGAGTTTGAGAATCCTGGTCAGGAGATGTACCAAAGGTCTATCATACCGTGGAAGGATCAAACTAGCCTGACGATGCTGCGGTCAACTGATTCTTGCAATCAATCCCCTTGTTGGGATACTGGGATGGATACTAGGATGATTTTCTTGGTACGACTTCTCGAAAACATAACATGATTCTGGGTGAACGCTGAACCGATATAAATACCCCCGACGAAGCCTGTTGAGGATTTTATTCATTCACTCGACACCAAGCAAACACAAGTCCTTCATCAGCTCTATCTGCCGCTCTGTCAACATTTTTTCAATACTTTGAATTCCACTTGTCATTGAGAATGCACGCCAAACTGTTCCTCGTTGGCCTGTTGGCTACCTTGGGTGTCGCTGCACCCCTAGCCGATCCTGCCCAACCTGCCCTCGAG